TATTTGGCCCACACAGTGCTGTTGAACAGACAGATAAACAGTGAGAGAGAAAACTCCCAAACATTGATCTCACATAGGACGCGAAAGTGGCAGGACACTTTCGTTTTCACTCAACACGATGATCATTCTTTCGTTTCCCGACTCAACGCGCGTGGTCTAACCGGCCGGTTTCCTCGCTAATCGAAACAGAGGCTGGTCCTGGATACATGATTCGACCTTAATAATATGACTCAAATTAACATGTGTTAAAAGTATTAAGTGAGCTTGTATTCTGTGCGCTTCTTACTCCACCGAATTCGGTGTGTACGAAAAATTCGCTTATGAGTACGGACTATGTGATAAAGTTATATCATTATACCGGAACAGCAAGAGTTCAATCACGTTACTAATTTGCCTTCCAATCCCGAGGAAAAGTTGAATAGAGAAGTCAGAAACGAATAGGTTTGCACATTGTATTGCTCACGGTCATTTCACTGCTGCATCGGTTCATACACGTGCCTACACGTGCAGTCAAGGTGATTTTTGCAGTCAGTGAAATAAGAACCGTAGAACGAGGACAAAGAACATGATCGNCTCTTCGTTGTGCTTCATTGGTGCACAGTGCCGGGCATGCAATCCAAACAAGTCATGAACAGACTGAACAATCTGTAATCAGAGTGCACTATGCGGGTGATCGGTTTTATACAAATTTGCTAAAGAACAACACAGCGAAATGATTCTCCCGTTCACTTTCCTGATTTACTATCCAGTTCGAAATCCACAATGATCTGAGCTTAGAATTCCCCTAATCATTCTATTCTATAAACGATCGATACTTGCGCCTGTTGACTAGTCCCCAACAACGACACGGAGAGAGAACACGGCTCAGAAAACGAGCGTCAGAGTATATTATTGATCATGACACAGCACGTAAATATATGCGGTTAATTGGGCGAACAAGAAACGACTTGGTAACGCACCAATAAGATCGCGACCTTGATACTCCGACTGATCGATCGGACGATAGCTGTCTGATTCGCCTCAGTCATCGGATCCGGAATCGATTCGGCTTTAGGCGTCACGAACACATTTATGACGCGGGACGATGCGTGGCTTGACGGGTTCTGTGCGCTCCGACCTAAAAGACAATAATACAACATGATGGCTCGCCACAATTTCAGGGAACACGGAACATGATTGATCAATCGTCTCTTGAGAATGACGCCTAATTCAATATTTTTAGATATCACCATCAATCAGTATGTCAGAAGGATTGACTTCCTTGAAAATCATCAAATGCCACATGCCTCAGACATGAAAGATCTAGGTGTCAAAGTGCAAGATGTCGTATACTACTGTACTGACACCTCCCACAGAATTTCTTCCGCAGCGGTGCAGAACGTCTGTGTGTTCAGTCACATCGCTGATCGTTTTGAGTCACTACTGTTCCCACGTCAACTACACAAAATACATTTGACCGTACACATTATGTCATCTATGCCATGTTGTTTATGCCTACCACGTGATCGCAAGTTCCTAAAATTTGTAGAAAGGATACCCACCAAATAGTTAGGGGATTATATTTCTATACCTTTCAAATACTACAGAACCCTAGCCAATCATGTTGGCAATTGCTAAGATTACCAATCAGCTTCCTCATCAGACGATATCTCTTTAAACTACTTGCTCAAACACACCCACTGAAATATCGAACCATTGTCGTCTCAACTGTGAGCTAGGGTGACTGAAACCGTTTTGAATTACTTGGCTTTTCTGTGTAGAAGTTTTGTGCAACTTCTTGGTCCTCACCACGTAAACTTTCTCAGCTTTCGGAATATATGTTTTTTATGGTTAGTGTGTTACCTTACGCCTCGATCAAATTCGCTTTAGATAACTGCAAGTTGATAACTCAAATAGTGATTTTCTCTTCTCTTAGAAACTAAAATAACAGCTTTTCCTTCTTCTTCAGTATGGAGAGATGAAATAGTATACGTTTATGGGGTTTGGCCCAAAACTTTCTCGGTCAAACAAATCATACTATTTTTGCTTGATGAGTTTTTGATGTGACCTTATTGGTGCCTGTCATTCGAATCTTTTTGACAATATGTACTCGGTTTTTCCATACGCACAGATCACCGAATGTTAGTACAGAAAACATCTGACTGGTATTAGATCTAAGGACATGTATTAGTCATTCTTTTTTACTGAAAATAGTTCAGTACTGTGAATTTCTTCATTGCGTATATCCATCACTACTAACCCCGCTGTCAATCAATACCCCGGATGTTCTGTGGAATCTTAAATTCTAGTTTCCAAAGTTTTCTTGAAAGATCCGTACAGCGTGATTAGGATCTAACCATCAGATTTTCAACATCACTCATTTTCAGTCGAACATCCGACTTTCTTTTCATTCACGCTGACAATCTTGGATTGGTCACAGTTTTCCTCAGGAATATTTTTGTTCGCTTTGTTCCCAAAAGCGATTTGTACAATCACTCAGATTGCCGTGGCCACAAGGCGACACAATGAAAAACACTCATGCCCGACATGAGCTAGACAGGTGAATATGATCGAGCAAGTCAAACCACGGTCGAACGTGGACAGTTGTTGCCAGCTAACCACATTTACCAGCCTGTGAAGGTCACTTCGGAGTGAAGAGTGTGCTTAATGCCGGTCAAAGCTAGTGACCTTTTCTGTGTGAGGTATTTTTCACGGGTTATACATTAGAGATAAATAGACTATCTCGTTTGACAATCACTGATCGATCTGGAACACTCACTTGCACTTAATATGAATGAACTGTCAAACTGATTACCGGGCCTGACGAGCGGCGGGAACCCGCGGAACCGGCTGTGGGCTTCTAGGAGAATTTTGTCAAGTCATTCACATACTACTACTTATTGCAAAATATATGTATCGCGAGTGATACTGATCGCATTGCTTTAGTCGGATGAAAGGATTCTAGGTAGCTAATCCTAAAGTTGGATCTGTTATTCACTGGATGATCTATGTTTTCTACATGGTATACGAATGTGCATTTTGTGGCACCTGTTCAGTCATAGTGTCACCAACAGGATTCTACATGATCGGTAAAAGCTTGTAACCATGTGACTGGAAACACTTGTTCGCCTTCGACCGTGTATTCTCGAGTCGAAAGGTACACATATTATGGAATCTGAAACAGAAGGAGAGAGGGTTCATTTGACTATTGAACTTCACTAAGCATTTTCGTATATTGAGGAGTCTATTGCACATGAATCGATCTATACTATATTGATCGTTCTAATGAATAAATAGCCAAGCAACATATTCTTAACATACGTGACCTTTGTGTCCGATTCTGGGGTCCCGAAAATTTCGTTTTTTGTAGTTGCCAAATGTGCACAGCATCTCTAATGCTGTGAGGTGAGCGCGCAATGACTAAGACCGAGTATTGGTAAAATATCACACTTTGAAAAAAAACTGAGGTAGAGAATTCTTTTTGTTCAATCATTTTGAAGCTTCGCCCTAATCAGTGACCACGAACTGAGTCGGGATAAAAATTGAAACCGGAGTGAGAAAGGGGTTAGAAAAACGATTCTGGTTGATTAAACCGCTTACGTAACATTATCATTCAGTTTTGATTGATTGAATCTCCTGATCAACATTTGATTACATCATGTGTTTCGGCCATAGTAACCTCAAGACGTGGAAAATAGGCTTCGGTTGCGCAATTCGGTGTGGTAGATACCCCCTGGGCAATGCATAGCAGAATTCGCATTAGTTCACTAGACATACTGATTGGGGTCTTGCGAAATGACCTTAAATAACCTTTCATCATCTACCGAATACCCGTGTTGATAGGATGCGCCATATTAGGGCTACAAATGACTTCCTTAATCGTTTTTTGAAACTAGATAGGATAGACTTTAGAGTAGCAAGCTTGGATTAACCCATTCGATTGTTCAGAGGCACCAATAACTAGACGAAGAGCACTGAACAGCTGTTTCGGCCTGTTTGGGACACGTCAGCAGTGCGCACTTTTTGTGTCCCTGTCAGAACTCGAACCGCAAACTTTAGGGTTGGGACTTCAAACCCTTACCCCTGAGATACACGGTCGACGGTCATCACCTTGAACGAATGGCTCAACCAATTTTAAAGTAGTAAGCTTCGATTAGCCTATTCGATGGTTCAGAGGCACCAGGCACTCTTGACGATCTTCGATATGGGTTTCACTTCTTGGGAGATCGTTAATTCCCTTCGAGGTAAATACATTCAAATACTGTGGTTCAAGTCCTGACAGGGACACAAATAGTACTCACTGCTGACGAGTACCAAGCAGGAAGAAACAGCTGTCCAATGCTCTTTGTCGGTCATCACAAACATTTCCATTGCATGTAGTCAGGATGATGTTCCTGAATCCGTATATGGTCAACTCCCAAATGGTACGACCAATGTAACCGGTTCTACAGAAGCACGTAAACTGACCGAGGTGGTTGGCAATGGCAAACGATATTTAAATCATTGAGAAATGACCAGGTAGGATCAGTGGTATGTATAAAATCAGTGACACAATGTGTGGATTGTGTGGCTTTGGACAGTCTCTGTGTGAAGAGCTCACTCACACCAACGTCGGTGATAGGTAAAGGAAGAAATTACTTTTTTTCCCTTGAGCACGGAGATGGTCCTCGGTTTCCCAATCAGGGAGTTCATCTTCAATGAATAAATCGGACCAAACTCCCTATTGAAAAGCGCTTCGTCATTGCTCTAGTTCTTCTGCCACCGTTTGTTGGGGAAAAAATCCTTCTTATTCATTGTACCGAACAACGTGTTGGGTTTCTTTTGGGAACTTAGTATTTACGACACGGGGGAAGCTTATGCGGTACACAATCTGAGTGCGACTATCATAAACGCTTATCTGTCGAGGACGTAATCTTTATTTGGCGAAAGAACACAGTCAAGGAAAGCAGATTATTTTTCGTTTTTCAAACTGTACTAAAAATTGTATTGTTAATATCGGTGACAGTTGAGAACGTTTCTTGATGAATCGCTCACAGCAAAAATACCGACTACATAGCAACAATAGGTATATCCAGTTTACAGATAGCATCTTTCAGATCATGGTTTTCCAAACTGGATCTGACAATAGGGAGTCAATTGGTAGACCCTGTTTTCATCCCCATCAAACTGACAGTACACATTTCCACTACACAGAAGTTTAACGTGCATTGATCGAGTATAATTGGATAGTAGTGCTTATCGGGTTGGTCGTAATGCGGTCACGGAGATGGCGAATTATTTCAACCAGTACCACGTCGGTTACCGGTAGTGATGGATAAAACATTTCGCTATAAGCAGTTATGTTCGTTTGTAGTTGAGTGCGATTAGACGGACAACTGCGGTATTGAGGGATTCTCTCAGCACCAATCCATTTTATATTCACCGAAAATAATGCCTGTTCTCGCTAACTGCACTTCCATTCAATGTGTGCCACTGGTATGTATATAATTCGGGTATTATCTGTCTCTTCCCGATCAGGTTATGGACACATTGTACCCAAAACAGATCTGGGTCGACTAACTACAATGATCTATGCCCTTTTCGGTATCCCCCTGGTTCTCTTGTGCGTGGCCAATTTGGGTGGATTTTTGGCCAAATGTGTTCGTCTGATTTATCGCCACACTTGTTTACGACTCTATCAACGCCAACGTCGTAAACGAATGCTAGAACGCATAGCGAACGAAAAGCATCGATCGAATATCTCGAACTCCGGGGGCAAGAATGAGTCAACACACAAATCGTCACGTGATCCAGAAAAAGGAACTCTATCACCAAAGCACCGACCCCATGGAGTTGCTTATCAGAAATTGAGCCCAATAGACGAAGTCGACGGTTCACTGAGACAGAAACCGAATACAGAACTAAAAACTACNNNACAAGTCGACTTTATGCTCCCATTGATTCCAGTGCAAGTCAAACGCCGGCTGGGACCGGGAACAAGCGATTCTCTAGATCGTCAGTCAATTTTGATCGTGCTGCGCAACAAATATTTCACACACTGACCACCTCGCAATCGATCATATCCCGAAAAGTGAGAGAATCTTCGTTCAAGAGAGAAATAAGTGTTCCTATCTGGCTCACTCTACTCATTTTCATCATATATTTGATTGTGGGCGCCATTATTTTCGCTCACTGGGAAGTGTGGAGTTTCCTACAATCCGCGTATTTCATTTTTATCACATTGTCAACTATTGGATTTGGCGATTTCGTGCCCGGGGTACAGAATGATCGATGGTACGAGGATTCAATCAAACCGGTATTTTGTTGTTTTTACTTGTTGATTGGGATCTCCATGGTAGCCATGTGTTTCACACTGATGCAAGAAGAGGTACGTACAAAATTTCGACGGTTTGCTCGAAAAATCGGGCTGGTCGAGGACTGAACAAGGTGTTCGGACAATGTCAATCGAACTGCACTGGCCACCAATTAGCCAGAGTGGCTATAGTGTAGATCTAGTCGATGCAGGTCATCACACAGGTATCATTTATCTGATGTGCAGCATCCCCAAAACTCGTTCAATCCAACCACCCACTCATCCCCAGCCCCGCCCAGTCCCGTCCCGTCCCCATTTTCATAACGTGTTGTGTGTCTGTATGACCGGTAGTGCGCTCATCCAAATTATGTCATCAGCCACCTATTTCGTGTTTACTCACCGCCAGTTCCTCATCTCGACTGAAAAATGTGTCGTAAATATTCTTCTCTCCAGCCACACATTGCCCCCGTTCTATCTCCCCCCGCCCCCACCCCCTGTTGAATTCATTGTCCAAATGACTTGGTACTCTGTGTGTGACATTTTTAGTGTTGTTCCCCATTGGCTACTCATTTTCCGTCCATTGTGCAAACTGATCACATGAGCATCACAATTGCGTACTGCTTGTCCCCGACGTGTGTGTTTTGATCCAGATTATTCAACCACGAAACAAACAGTATCGCTTCCAAACAGTTTATCTCTTCTAATTTTTTGTTCTATTCCTCTTTCGTCCAGTTTCACAAATACGTGTTTCTCATCAGGGACTTGATTTGAGACGCACCGAATCATATTTGTTCGCCTTGTCATTCGTCAAAACTACAATCAATCTGGGTTTCGACTGATCAGTGAGGGTATAATTCTTGTCGGTCTGCTTCGAAGTGACTTTTTTCACCAAGTAGACCATCTTTCGAACCGAAATAAACCGAATGGGGTGGAGGGTATATATAGGTGTCACGAAGGAAACCATGGCAGAATATAAGTTACCATTTGTTACGTCAATTCTGCCCTACCAAGTGGTACTATAGATTAAGAACAATGAGTTGCGCACACAAGCCGTACTAGATCGAGCTCATATTGAGGTTAACGAATCCGGTAGATGTGAAGCGGACAAATGTAACTCGTATATCAACCAATATTTGCTAATCATGTAGCGGCAATTTTCTCTTTCGGATACATCATGAGAGTAGGGAAAATATTCCAAACAAAATGGAAAAATAATTCGTTAGGAATTCACCTGGCATATGGATACTGAATATGTGAAAAATCTTAGTGAATTGTCACACGAGCAATGATAATGAAATTGAACAAAGAACATAGCAGGCACACAATGTTGCCCAATTTATTTCCGGAAAAAAGTTCACTGTATCTCTTCAGGCACATACTACAATCAAAGAATGTAAGAATAATAATTTACCGCGGATGAGCTGTCGGCGCTATCTTCTTTCATCTTTTAACTAAGCTAGGGCGAAAGTTACAAATAATTCTTTCTGTCTGCACAGTTCAGGCCTCCATCGTTGTATAGGCAATCGCCGCTGCAAACTGGAGTAACCGAGAGTTTTGTGCGATGCGAACACTTTTAAATGCTGTGGTTACGTTCACTTGATGCTCAGTCTCTAGCACGTGACGAGCGATCGATCACGCTGGTGTGCGACTTTGAGTTGACCTTCGACCTTGATCATTTGGGTGTCATTCGTTCGCCAGTTTGTTAACCCACAGGGGTGTGTTCGGCTACTCTTTGTCGAAGCTGCCGCTCGTTTCTGCTTAGCTAAGCGGCCGAGTATCCACAGACGAATCGGTACAACTGATGCGATTTGATATACGGCGGAAGTGATTGCTTGACTGAAGGAGTCGGTATTCCGTCACATGTGTAGACGAAAACTGGTTCGGTTGTGTTTACTGTTCGTTGGATGGATGAGCTTAGGCAGTGCCCCAACAAATTGCTCACATCATCACCCTTGAACGGTAGTTGTAGGACGACCTTACAATTCGGTACGGATATCAGTCGCTCTACCTTGGGACGTGCAATGCTATATTATTTCACGAACGAATTCCGGAAACCATGCTTCTGAAGAGTGCTATTCGATTTTAGCATTTCATCTGCGATAATGAAATTACAAAAAAAAATAAAACAATAATCTCTTCATTTCCGTATTACATTTTCCAAATCTAATCATCGATTTGAAACGCTCTAACTTATGATGACTGTACGTTATTTTCTCCACAGGTTTTGACCAATTATCATGCTACTTACATACGGGGGATATCCCATTCCGCTATCCTTTGTTCCCCCAAGTGAAAACGGTTTCTGTTCTTCCCCACTGCTCAAAGATGGTAATTTGAGTAGTGCTCGACTGGAAGCACTGAGTGGCTGTTTCGTCCTGGTTCAGACTCTTCAGCATTGCTCGCGTATTTTCGATTCCTATGAATAACGATGAAACAATGACATGGAAATTGACAAAGGTACAAGAACATGTTGAAAAGGTTTTGTAAAAGTTCCAGCTACCATTGGGTGAGACAGTGTTGAACTAATGCTGTTAGTGTTTTCGGTGTTAGCCATTCTTTGGAACCTAGTGTGAAAGCTGGCACAGTCCGACAAAGATCGAATTTGATGTTACTGTTTTCATATCTTGAGATCGTGTCACTCATTGTCCAGCTTTTCACCGCCTCAATTCCGTATTTGTTTGTGCACGCTAATGCACGCGTTGTACCGACATCCGAAACAGGTGTTCAAGTCACACAATCTTAGTGGTTACGATGTGAAAGCGTGTTGATAAATTTCCAAGTCTTCAATACAAACGCAAAATACCTTTATGGGACTCGAATCACGAAATTTCTCCACAAAAAATGTAATAGATATCCCATTTTCACTACCATGCGTGGATAACCGACCATTACATATGCAAAACATAGAGCCACTGTAATAATTGTAGTAGTAGTAGCACGCACGGAATTCGGAACACGAACCACCCAATAGGAATCACAGGACACGAATCTAGGATCAGCTTCACGGACTGGATTACGGAAGCACTGGACCGCAATGGCACGAGGTCGCAGTATCCCACGTGGACGAGATGCGAGGAAAAGGCCACGGGAATAGTAGTACGTAGTTGGTTTATTGGAAGAAATGAAGGTGATTAAATAATATGTACAAAAGAAGATTATTGGTTATCTAAGCTTCAGCCAATCGAATTGCAATACTGCTTGCATAATTCTGCTTCCGTCTGCACTGCCTCGGATTGGCTGGTACGATCCACCAACGACGTGTAGTCAGAAGCCATGCGCGTGTCACTGACGTCATCTTTCAAACTTGATTGATCGCAAATGTCCTGAAACTGTAACGCGCTGCTCCAGGGTAGGCGTCATCACGTAGGCCTGGATCACCACAGCCGGTCACTTGAGCGCACGACCTATTCGTTTCTGATTTCTCTATTGAACTAAAACACTAACATATATCACAAGTAGAATATACAATGCAATACAGTGAGAAACCACCCGAAGAAGATGTCAAGAAACACTACTACTGGGTGTTTGGTGCCCGTGAAATCGAATCCGTTTATTATACAAACACTCGATGGATTCCTAAACTTTAGGATTTGGTACGAAATACATCCTTGACAGTAAAATAACGCGCAAGGATTTCTTCATTCTGTTGTCGATTTTGCCGAGAGATTTGCTCTCGCGATATATTATATATATATATATGCGGTTAGAAGCATCTATTCCACTTACAAAACATCGAATCATAGCATTGATTCTTCATTGGACTGACTCTGAAAGAGCTGTTTATCCAATGGTTACCCGGTGTTGCAAACAAGGTTATTGTGACGAAAATACACTTCCTGGGTACAAGTATATAAACGAACTGATAAAAGATTACCGGATACGCATGCCTGACGAGCGGCAAGAACCGCGAAACCGGTCGTGTGCTTCCAGGGAAATTTTGTCCAGTCATTCACATAGTATTATTATTATTATCAACAGGCGACCAATTTTAATTAGTTCTTAATTGGAAAAGGCGAGCCAACACCAAAATAATACGAAACGTTTTATCTGTGTTTTGTGGCGATTTGTATCACTCGTGTACTGATATTTATCGTTGTTAATGGTGTTTACGTATGGCCGGGCAATGAGTGATGTTATAAGGTATCCAAACCGAGTACTGGGTCACCGGTGGAAGAAACCGCTTCCGTTTCAGCTGCACAGACGACAAAACGACTACGTTGACAGCCACACTGTACTCACAGGTAATATTTGAGTGATTAAAATTATTGAGACGACTGTAATAAGTCATTGAAAAACCTGTGACGCGCTCGGCGAACAGGAGTATTTGCACATTCCCGCACCCCAACAGGTATCCACGTCAAACGACCATTCCGAGATTATGTTACTCTGTTTCTGACTTGCTCTACTATTGTTCACCGGCGCGAATAACAACCAAACGGAAATAAGGCTGGTAAGATTGCACATGTCATTTGTCCTCTCATTTCAGATAGACAACCAGCTTCAGTTTGCGCTGTACTGTGACAAGTTTGATTAGAGGATGACTGTGAGACGAGGAGAAAACAAAGTGCACAAAAGAGGAAAACTTCAAATAAAAAAAAGATGGAAGTAAAAAGGTATATGGGGAGTACGCAACCACGCTCATCTTAGCACGGACACATGGAATTTTGTTATTTCAAGTTTCACAGTTTAGGTGGCTATTTATCACGAGTGAACAGTATGTCCTCCTCTCGGATACAGGACTCGCTACTTCTGCTGTCCATCACAGCACAGGGCATACATAACAGGAAAAAAAAATTAAACCTAAGTAGATATGTAACAAAATTTCCTACCAGACCCGTAGAGGGAAGCAACCAGTGGCGGTAATCGATCGGAACCAGTCAGCATCTCTTTCTCTCCCATTCTCTAATACTAATTCTCACATAGTGAACTTTGTTCTTTTTGTATGTTGCATAGCTATTTGATTCATTTATATGCTTGAGACCACACACACACACACACACACACAGACTCGTATTTATTGCGACGATAACATTTTCACAATGCTTCCCTATTTTATGGCCTCCTCGAACTAGACAAATTGTCATCATATTGTACCAGACTCGCGAAATTGTTCTCAGTCTGTCTGACAGAATGTACCCTTCCTCTCTCCGCCCTCACAACCACTTACACATTAACCCCTTTCCCCTTCCTCTGGAAAGTATTCAATAAAATGTACAGAAAGAGATTATTCTAATTGTTACTATGACATTAAGTCACTGAAACTACACTTGGTTTGTCAAACCGCTTGTCGCTACGCAGTCCGAAGATGACGGACGTGAAGCAGCACAATTATCCTCTTGAAAGTCGGAATGGGTGCTTCGATGCACGCAATATACATGTGTTGTATATTGATTACGGTTTATGAGTACTGATTGACTCGATACATCGGAAGCTCACCAGTAATGCACACCGATCGGACAATCCAAGATTGAAAGTCCAACCCCTTCTTTTTTGGTGGAAGGCTTTCGACTGAGCCTAACAGATGGCATACTGGGTTTCCTTTCGTGGCCATCGGGCCAAAAGTGAACTAAGTGACCATGACTCAAGGCATCTGAACATTCT